AGGTGCCGTACTTTCGGTACTAGGATCTGTCAAATCGTGAAGACGTACGACTACATCAACCGTGTTGTCATAACGCTTACTCTTACGGTCTATGAAGGTACGTGGACTATACTCTCCCGCTCGTTGCTATGCATCACATAGATCTTGCGTGATCGTAGGAAATTTTTTGAAATTACTGCGTTCCCCAACACCTTGTGCTTGTGGATACCATGTGAAGGTGTGTCCCTATCGGATCTTCCTGCATTAGATCGGTTTTCGTCTCCACTGGATCCATCTTAATTCGACCAACAATGTTTGTCTTTTGAATATTTGTGGGTTAACTTCATCGTTTTCTTCTTTGAGGTGGGGATGTGCTACGTATAACACTATCATTGGTGTCTTCTGGCCTACATTGTTGACTTCCCGGGCGCTTGTAATGGGACCGCGACGGATGTGAGACGATGGAAGTGGAGTAGTTCGGAAGAGAGAAAGGGGGTCGAGAATATGAAGGAGAAAGAACAACTTCTCTCTTCTCTCTATTTTGATTCATGGCAATTCTCTATACCCAGCCACACGGGAATCAACCTCCTTTAACACACACAGTGCCACACAGCCACTCCTCGCTGACTCCGCGGCCCTACCCCACTTTTTAGATAAACACACCACTACTCCACCCAGTTCATGGACCCACATATGCCTCCTCTTCACTGACGGGTGGGATCGTCATGTCGGTAGTGAAATCCTTCCCCTCTTGCATGTTGACTTGTCCCCAAGGCGACGATGTGGGAAAGCGTTGTTGGAGAGTCGTCTGGTCTTCCCATGTAGATAGTGATGCCGGAAGATTGCTCCACCGGAGGCAAACTCGCGGTCGGGACACACCGCCCACACGCATAGTCTATTGTTCGAGCACCACCTCCAGTACTTGCTCTCTGTCTAGAAGATAGCATTATCAGTGGGCAAGTTTGAACTAACGGGTGCCACCTAAGGTATCATTCAAGGCATTGGTTGACTCTTTCCGTCTGTCCATCAGTTTGTGGCTGATATGATAAGCCGAGCCTCATATCCGTGCGACACAACTAGAACAGTTCCTGCCACACATTGCTCGTGAATATCCTGTCACGGTCCAAGATAATTGCCACGAATAGTCCATGTAGATGGAAGTTCTCCTTCATAAACACCCTGCCCACTTGTAAAGTTGTGAATGGGAATGTCAACGACACAAAATGTACATATTTGTTGAACTTGTCCATGATAACGAGCATCGTGTCATATCCCCCCCCCCCAGCGTTGCAAGCCTTCAATAAAGTCGAGACACACAACATACCAGAGTTTCAAAGGTATAGGTAGTGGTTGTTGTAGTCCGGCTGGCGAAACACGCTCCGTCTTGGCTTGCTGACAGGTCATACAGTTACGCAACATCACCTTCACCTGCTGGTTCATCACTTGCCAAACAGAAAACCTTTTAACAAGGTTGTACTAGGTTGCACGGAACCCTTCATATCCCCTCCAACGCTTGCACGCAGAGCACGAATGAGATACTATTGTCATATACATTGCCTCCGATCCACGTGTGTCCCCTGAACCTGATCACCCCATCTTGAAGAGTAAGTCCAGGTTCACTATCATGGGCCAATGTTAACTTACTCATGCGTTGTGTAGCAGTTGCATTTTGTTGGTAGTTGCGTTGGATTGCTTCTAGCCAAGGTAGGTTTGTAGAGAGAGATTGCTACCATCTCTGTTTATTTTGCATGTTCGCATCTCGAGACTGTGTTTCTGTGTCAGCAACCCTGTTGGCTAAGCCTGCCTTATTGGATCATATATTGCAGCCCGATTAGCTTCGTAAACGCTCGCTACTGAATATCCATGTTGACTCATTGATCTGTCAAGTCAAAATGACTCTTCTGATCTGTGTAAACTACAATATATGCATGTTGTAAGTAAGAGTGCCAATGGTCTACCGGTAATAATAGTGCAAGGCATTCCTTTTCATAAGCTGATAGCCCCAGATCCCTAGAGGGCGCGGTAGCTCATGCGTTCCTCTCGCCAGCTAGGATGGGGGTGACGGACATGGCAGGTTCGCATGGGGGAGGCGGAGCAAGCGCTGAAGAGGCGACATGGTGTGGGCGACGGAGTGGTCGACAACTAGGCAATGAGCATTGACGACTGGGTCGAACATGCTGCTTGGGCATTTCTTAAGCTTGGTGGGGAAAGGGACGGGCGGCGTTCATCAGAGGAGGATCTGCGGGCGGCGGTGATGCGCGACCTTCGACGAGCTGCGCTGTCGTCCGTTAGATAAGAAGCAACAGGCATGGTGCAGCCATGCTACATCGACGGACATTTATAGGTTGAGTTTGAGCTAGCAATTTGTGATTGGACTAAGGGAAAGGGCCCCACCGACCTGAAAACAAAGGGGCATGTTTAATTTGTTAGAAAGGAGGCCGTAGAGGCATATAGGACCCCGTACGTCTAGCCTTTTTGGGCATGGTGCGTCATGTCATGTGGCTTTTTGGATGGGAGGGTTGCACTCGATGCATGGTTTTGTTAACGTCTCAAGCTTTTAATGATTTTTTTACATGCAGGGTCATCAGTTAATCTCATCACATATGGGAGGAAAGATAACGGAAATGTTAACGCCCACATGTGTGGGTGTTGACTATCTCGACCACACGCATTTAACATCGTCCAGTACTATATGCATGAATCTTGACACAATCTGGCTGATTTTCTGTGTGCCACGTAGGACAAGGTGTATGTGTGGTGTGACATAGTTCGCCCACACATCCGTTTTACCACACGGAGGGGCCGGTGTGTGGGTGTTTAGCAGTTCACCCACACACCAGTTTTCAGTCACGCACAAGGGCTGGTGTGTGGGCATTTGTCATCTCACACACACGCCCGTCTCCTCTCCCACACGTAAGCTGCTAGTTGCCATGTGTTTTTGCAGCGCACATGGCAACTGCCTCTAGTGTGCTTTATAAGCAGGTGGCAACTCTCTTTTTTTACCCGAGTTGCCATGTGTTTTTGCAGGGTACACGGCAACTGCCTAGTGTGCACGTAAGCAGATGGCAACTGTCTTTTACCGAGTTGTCATGTGTTTTTGCATGGTACCTTGCAACTGCCCCAACGTGCACGTACATAGCAATTGCCTCAACGTGCATGTAAGCAGATGGCAACTCTTCCTTTTTACATGGCAACTCTCTCAACTGCCTAGTGTTAGTACGTGGCAACTCCTAAAGTTATGAAATCATGTCAACTACATTAGATCAGACCATACATGGCAACTGCAGTTGAGCAACCATGGCAACTGCAGATAAACGAACATGGACGAGGGTCTGGACCATGGCAACTGCGGGCGCGCGGTGGGCGTCACGCGTCGCGTGCGGGACCAGAAGGGTACGAGGCCTGACATACGGGCGTGTGGGCGTTATCAACTTCGCCCATACGCACGCTTGTGAGAGGGTTCAGGAGGGAAAAAAAGATGTGTGGCCATTAGTTGTTTTGCCCACACGTAGGTGTGTGGGCTGGTTGATGTCCATGCCACATGAGGCGTGTGGCACAACTATCCGATACACCACACGTGTGGCAGTTATCAGGACCCAAAGATAAACATGGCTTGAAATTAGGAAAAGAGACCGCGGGATACTCGCAAAAATTGCGCCGTGGGACATCCTTGGGGACTATCTAATGTGATAGAACAATGGATATTAGCGGCTGGACTGGATAGCAGGGAAAATATTAGGTGCTACTGGATCTTAGATGATACGGTGATACGGGCTCCCAAGCCGCTGGATTTTAGATACAATAGTCATGGACATTTTGCAAAAAAAGTCATCCAAGAGTCTTAAAATTGCACGACATTGATGCGCTCCATCCCGTCATCCCGTCACATGTGTCGGAGGCGTCGTTGGCACATAAGTTGAGATGGTTTCATCAAGTCAACTAAAGGGAACGACGCGCTCCACCACACTAGGCTATAGACACATAGTCCATATGCCCTTTCCATGTCCTACTTCTCTTATATATTTTTTATTTTCACTAGCATGGTCAACATGAACACCATACTGTTGTGTGGTTAGATGTCGGCGTTGGTCTAATATGCGTAGGTCTGGTCATACGTGAACTCAGTGGGCGTTTACATAAGATTAACCAATACATGTTGGTACTGGGTTTTTTTAGGGGAGCATGTGGGTACTGGTGTTCGCCGGCTAATCTCATATATTGGTCTATGTCAATCAGTTATGGGTAAAAGGAAATCAATAGTATAAAAAAATATAAAATAAAACTAAAGTATTCAAGGAAGGTAAAGTGATTAGGTTATTTTTGTAAGAAATATATCATAATTTAAAAAAACAATATTTTATATCATAAAAATCCAGTCAGATCTAAGATACTACTAGTTATTTGTGATGATAACTGAAATTCATAAGCATTAAAAATTGTGAACATTTTAGAAATCCATGGACGTTTTATAAATTCAGCGACCTTTCAAATTGACATTGGTGCTTGCATTCTCTAAAAAAAGACATTGGTGCTTGCATTCCCTTAAAAAAAGACATTGGTGCTTGCATTATTCCTAAATTTATTTTAGACTTCCGACGATGTTCGTTTAGTGAGAACAGACGTCCTTATTGACTGCAAGGCGCGTGTGGTGACTTCTTAAAATTTAAGATGTTATGTCGACTCAGTCTCTCGGAGATGCTCATAAGGATATGGTGTGTGCGCACGCGCGTTCACAGTGTGAGTACATGCTTGTGTATGTGGGCAACTACGATTGTACCGTGTTAAAAAATAATTTAGGGTCAAATTAACCCGGTTTTGGCAGTTTTTACCCTGACATTAATCCGTCAAGTTGAATCTGAAGGGTCTCTCATTAGAAAAAAGAAGATGATTTTGAGCGTGAAAGCTATACTTTCCTTTTATATACTTTATTTATACATTCTAAAAACAAGTTAGTATACGTGCAACTGCGCAGTGGGCCCGAACCTAATCCGAAGCACACGAGCATTTCCTCCGTCGCCACCATGGCGTCCGCCAACGCCGCCGCCCCGGCCGTCACCTTCCAGCCCGGCCGGCGCGCCCCGCTGCCGCCCCGCTGCACGCATTCCGAGCGCGGTGTCTCCTTCGACCCCGGCTCCGCCTTCTACCGCAGCGACAGCGCCCCGGGCCGCGACCTCGCCGTCCTCGCCGCCACCCTCCACCGCCGGCGCCGCCCCGACCCCTCCGCCGCTTTCCTGTGCCTCGACGCCATGTGCGGCTCCGGCGTCCGCGCGCTCCGCTACCTCGCGCAGGCCGGCGCCGACTTCGTCTGGGCCAACGACGCCTCCGACGCGCTCCACCCGGTCATCGTCGGCAACCTCTCTCGCTTCGAGCCCGTGCCTCCCGAAGGGCAGAGGCGGTGGGTGGTGTCGCACCTCGACGCCACCCGGCTGCTCGCCGAGAGGTACCTCCGCCGCGAGTACTTCGACGTCATCGACGTCGACTCGTTCGGCAGCGAGGCCGAGTACATCCGGGCGGCCTTCCTGGCGCTCAAGATTGGTGGCCTTCTCTACCTCACCTCCACCGATTGGCGGTCGGCCAGAGGTTATGGCGGAAAATGGTGAGCTTTTTGCCTTACTTGTTGGATTTTTGGTATCCAGTAAAAGTCTGAAATTATTAAAATCAGATTAGGCTGTACTCCCTCCGTAAACTAATATAAGAGTGTTTAGAATACTAAAGTAGTGATCTAAATGCTCTTATATTAGTTTACAGAGGGAGTACAAGTTTACTTGTAGTCTCATTGTACTGTTGTCATCTTATATCCTAAACATATCTGGAGTACAATGTTTTCAAGTGGTGTATCAGAAACTAGGATCTTAGAATTGCTGATTTTTCTGTAATAAGATTGTCCAATGATGAACATAAGTCAAAAAGATTGCTTACATATTCAGTAACACTCAGCTGTGCCAGACTATGGAAAGTATAGTTGCTTGCTTTGTTCTGTATATTGGGCTAATTTTGCCTTCTATACTCTCTTTTTTATAATTACGCAAATAAATTCAGCATTTTCTTTAGGCAACTGTATACTCTCGCGTTATGCTTCCCTTTGGAAAGGCTCAACCAAGTCTGTTTGTTAACGTCAGCCACATAACATTTTGTTTCTCTTAGCTCACTGTCTTCATACGGAGCATACGTTCTTCCAGTGCCATATCCGAATGAGATTGGTTTGCGAATGCTTTTAGGTGGGGCTGCCCGTGAAGCAGCAATGCTGGGATTTCACATAAAACCAGTATTCTCTTATTACGCGTACCATGGTCCAATTTTTCGAGCGATGGTACAATTATGCCATGGAAAAGAAGATGGCATCAGGTTGGCTCAGTGCTCTTTTATTCCCAAATAACCTACAGCTAATTAGTGTGTATAACGGAATGCTAAGTTACTGATGTCCCTTCTATTTTTGGCAGCAATTATGGTTTCATTTGTCATTGCAAGAGTTGCGGCCAGTCTCAGACTTTTGGATTTGACGAATTGGGGCAGATTTCTTGCGGATGTGCAAATAGAACAGTAGGTACATTGAATCATGTGGCAGTACTAAACAACTAGCGACAAAATTGTCAGTCAGACTATGTAACAACTCTAGTCGTATCATGTGTTTTACTGAACTGATTTTAGGACTTGGAAATTACTTTTCCTTTAGTGTTTTACTCCTTTTCCTTTTTTTTGCATAGAGAAATTATATTATTTGAAGCTGATCAATATCCTGTTTTACTGATCAATTAATCGTTATTTCTACATAAGCTGATTACTGTACCACAAAAGATCTTATTAACCCATGTTTAGGACTAAATACTTGACTGTTGTTATGGTAGTATATAATTACCATTTTATTTTACAGGATGCCACTTCAATCACAGTTGTAGGCCCACTTTGGACAGGTCCTCTCCATGATCGCTCTTCCATTACAGAAATGCTAAACTTGGCTGTAGAATGGGGATGGGCACACATAAGTGAGAATGGTGTCACTTTGGAAAAACTTCTTGGCACCATGATTGAGGAGAGTGACCCAAGGTTACCGCCTGGATATATAAGACTTGATGAGGTATGTCTTGCAGTTGGATGCACTTATTAGGATGTCTGTGATGTACAATTGTTGAGTAAAGTCAAGCTAAATTTGTTATGCAATGTCAGATTGCCAGCCGAGCAAAAGTTAACTCTCCACCGCTCGGTACACTCATCCATTCATTGCAGAAGGTATGCAACTTCTGCACTTTTGTTGTATCAAGTATGATTACTTTGCTAAATCCGAAGGAACGGCCAGAGTGCTTCATTTAGGTTCTTATATTACATAATCGTGCTTTCCTTCATAACCTGTATATGCAGTTTGGGAACATTCTGTTGCCATTTCATTTTATAAAGTAGATGAGCATTGACTCTGAAAATGTTATCATGCTCTGAATGTGAACAGGAAGGTTATGCTGCTTGTAGATCTCATATAGGTGCCAATGCTGTCAAGACCAACTCTCCCATCAGTTCTTGCATTGTGGTTGCACGGGAGATCCGAAATTTGCGATAACCGCCAACTAACTCTTCGATTTGCTAAGTCCACCATGTTTTCTTGTTTAACTGCACAAATTGTGGCTTTGCGCTTGAGTTCCTTCAGTGTTCCAGGCAAACACACTGTTCCAAAACCAGAAGAGAGCTCGCTCATTGGCAGTGGTCTGATATCGGAACACATGTTGTCCTGCACTACAGAAGTAGCAAGTTTTGATCTTGGCGCGTGCAGCTGGTTGTTTCATGCGCTACAAAGTTCTTGATAGGACACTGTAGCGATTCAGCTGCTTTGTTTCTAAACAGTAGCGTTCTTTTTCTTGATGATTCTTCCTTACTACTCCCTCTGTTTTTATTTACTCTGCATATTACTGTAGCTTGTCTTATGTCAAACTCTGTAAACTTTGACCAAGTTTACAGAAAAAAATTAACATCTATAATTTTTGTATTTACTCTCATATTATTGCACCATTGTCTGAAGAAAAAATAACGGAGAATACAGGATGGGTGAAAACTGTGCTTTTTTGTGGAAAGCTAGGGTCGCCATGAGTTTAAGTTTAATTAAGTAAAGTTGAAACCTTTCACATTTTATACTAGTTTATTTGGAGATTTATGATGCATAAATGAAGACTCTGTATCCCCATTGTCTTGAATGCGCGCTTGCATCCAGCATACTAGTTTGGATTTTGGAACTAATCCACATGTGTCTACGACGGGCTGGCGTGATTGGAATTTGCAAATATGAAAGTCGTGTACATCCTAACTACTTTAGACGTGATTGCAATTTGCAAATATGAAAGTCGCGTACATCCTAACTACTTTAGACGTGATTGCAATTTGCAAATATGAAAGTCGCGTACATCCTAACTACTTTAGACGTGATTGCAATTTGCAAATATGAAAGTCGCGTACATCCTAACTACTTCAGACGTGATTGCAATTTGCAAATATGAAAGTCGTGTACATCCTAACTAGACTGGAGCTAGTGAGATACTTGGCTAGTATTTTCAGCCCCTGCACCAAACCAGTAGCACCTGCACTGTAACATATGTAGGATGTGATGCCCTCTTGACTACTATGAAATGGCAAACGTACCCGAATTGGCAGCAAACATGTTTGCCACACTACAGGAAAAACAAAGGAGGTTCTAAGTCAGTTCGTCAATAATCAGCTGGGCTACATCAGAGCATAGAGCCGCAACAGACTACACGTGTGTAATTCCAAATTGATATGTACTAGCATGCTCATTTGATATCGGTATCTCGTTTGGTTGCTACTGGGCTGGTAGAGAGGGCTAAGATTGCTAAGGGGATATATACAAGAGACTCTGCAAACGATAAGAGGCATGTATGCAACGAGCTTTCAAGGACTGCCCTTGTATTTAACAGATGGTTGGTGCGATCGTCCAGATACGGTTCATGAAAGGTTCATATTTGGACAGATGACGCATCATTCAATCTGTAATTTTGATCATCTATTCGTTGTGGTATATTTATTACACATATTTAAGTTTAATATTAATGGAATAACTTTGTGCATTGTGAAACAGAGCTGTGCATGACTTTTAACATCTAACAATGCATTAGAAATATACTCCCTCCGTCGCATAATATAAGAGCGTTTTGACACCGTGTCAAAAACGCTCTTATATTATGTGTTGAGTATTATGTTTAGTTAGGAAATACGAGATAGACTAGGATATGTTCGGGTTTGTCTTGTGCTCCAAGTTGACCATGTACTTCTATATATATACCCAAGAAGCTCAATCAATAAAAATAATTATTCCATCAAATCCCTCTCTCCCTGCTAACATGGTATCAGTTTTCGGGTTCTAAGCCCTAACCGCCACCGCTTCCGCACTCACGTGCCGCTCCTAAGGCGGTCGATCTCCATGATCGTCACCGGAGGCCGCGCCGTCCGTATCTAGGGTTCGTCCGCCGGTCGTGTTGACTGGCTGCCCTAGAAAATCTTTTTACTCGATCCATTGATTGAGGTTTTTCTCTCTTACCGGTGGATTGATCGGTGTTCTTTTTTTATTTTCGGTTTGTGTCGCCCACATCGTTCGTCGTCTTTGCGTGGCTCTACTTCAACACTAGCCTCGAGGACATCTGTCGCCGCTCGCGCTTGTGCGCTGTGGCACGCACCGCATCGCCTGCGTCCCGTGCGCTGGCTACATCGCCCGTGCGTGGCTCGTTGCTCGCGCGCCTGATCACTCGCGCTAGGCTACCTAAGCTGCTCCACGTTGAACGGCCCGGATCACATGCGTATGCATGCTGGTCTTGGCTGATGCATGTGTGTCCCGTTTGGGTAAGTGCCCATGCGACGTACGGCTGCGCGATGCAGCTCGCAGATACCTCGTCGTTCGTCGCATCTTCTCGGTTTTCTTTGTCGCGTCTTCGGTCTGATAAATCGTATACACACGTCTCCCTGAAATTTGTGAAGATCGCCTCCAAGTACAGCACCGCCCTTCACCGATCGAGCGAAGGGGTACAGTTGCGTCGTCCCGTTAGGCCGTAGCACCGCCGCCTTGTGATTCTTTTCATGGCTGCATCGATTTCGCACTGCCGCTGCGTCGTCTCTTCGGGCCCGTAGCGTCGCGGCACATGGTCTCCGTCGTCACCTTGAGGCCGATCCCGTGGTTGCATCACCCCGCGCGCTACCGCTGCGTCGCTCCTTCGGGCCGTAGTGCCGCGGTCCGCGGTCAACCGCCGTCCCGATGCCGTCTCCGGAGCTGTACCAATCCTCACGCTGTCGCTGCTTTGTCCCGTCGGGCCGTAGCGAGCATGGCACGCGGTCCCTGCAACCGCCCTGAGGTCTTCCTTGCCGTCGCGCCGACCCGCGTGCTGCCGCTGCGTCGCCCCTCCGGACCCGCGCGTCGACTTCTACGTGGTATGCGTCGTGCCGCCTCCCTAGGCACGAAAACGCCAACGTCCGCGTCGGTTCTCGTCACGCTGTCGGGTTCTTCCTCGCCTACTTCGAGCATCGTCCCCGCGCTTCTGACCTAGTCACCGCCGCCTCCTCAGGCCGCTGCCGCCGCTCTTCTTTCCGGTCCACGGCGACTACCTCGACACCGGCCACCCGACTCGACATCGACCACGGCATTCTTTGCACGGCTACCTCGACGACGGCTCCACCACCCACGCTCTTGGCTACCTCGACAACGACACAAATGGCTACCGTCTTGCTTGAGCAATCTTGTCGGTTTCCACTCCAGCTACGTCTTCTACGATGCGTCGACCGTTACGACTATGAGGGGTGTCCGTCAGCTTGCCTTCAGATTCTTCTCCAGTCTCATCGTCTGCGTCGCTATCGTTGTGACTGCGGGGGATGTTGAGTATTATATTTAGTTAGGAAATACGAGACAGACTAAGTATGTTCTGGCTTGTCTTGTATTCTAAGTTGACCATGTACTCCTGTATATATATGCTCACGAGGCTCAATCAATAAAAATAATTATTCCATCAAATCCCTATCTCCCTTCTAGCATTACGGGACCTAGATTTTTTAGGTACATTGTATGTACTACTAAGTTTCTATATCAGATATCATGCTAATGTTTAGTGTCTGCGATCAGTTGAGCAGGAGGAGGAAAATTCGTCGAGGCCCGCCTGAACCGATATGCTCTTTGCCCATTTGCTGGCATCGACCATCGTTGCTCCTGGCTGGTCGCGTCTCCCCTCGCAGCAGCACCTCTACTCCTCTAGTCAAACTGCGATTTCTGCACCAGCTCCACCGTCATCAGGCCGGTCCGTATCCACGCGCTGCTCGGTGTCTGTAGATCGCCGGCCCAGCCCGCTAGCCCCTCGCACTATCACCGGCCGAAACACTGCAGTTCGGAGCCGAATCCGCCGCATGTGGACTCCCTGCCAATTGATTTCCTTGTTCGACATACCAATGCAAGTATATAGGTGCGTGATCTTCCAACAGATAAGAAAAGTGCAGGCGAGAATGAACTATGACGGAAAATTGTTTATTAAATGGTGGGTGCTTCCTTCACATATAAGTTGGGAACTCAGCTCAAACAACAGGCCATACCACCAGCCTCTAGTTCTGGTGCTGAAGCTGATAATAGATGCATATGGGATTACATTTGGAAGGCAAAAGTCCCGGAGAAGGTTAGGATTTTTGCTTGGCGAGTAGCCACAGAAACTCTTCCCACAAAGGAAAACAAGTGGAAAAGAACCCTGGAAATTGATAACATATGCAACATATGTGGGAGCAAGACTGAAAATGAATTCCATGCGGTGATTGAATGCACAAAAGCCAGAGCGCTTAGGCATGAAATGAGGTCAGTCTGGGAACTACCTTCAGAAGACAGTTTTCGTTTTACAGGAAATGATTGGCTACAAAACCTCCTGGGCTCATGTACTCCTCTAGTACTCAGAAATGTGCTCCTGTTG